GGTTTCCTGTGGATATGAACTTCACTTGGCCTTTTACTTTCTTGGTCAATAATGTTGGAATAACTCGATATAAGAGTTAACAATTTGAGACACATTCAATCCTAATATTTTCTGTATGATCAGCTGAAAGTCGATTTACCAAAAAATGACAGAGAAATTCTGTATTTAGGTAGATTATCATGGTCTGTATAAAATATTCTATCATGATTTATATTATTTATTTTTTGTGGCTGAGCAGGAAATAAATCAGCAGTGGATTCAGTAACTGGGAAGCAGCGTTTGCTTTGATGTTAGAGGCTATATGGTTTGAGAGTGATTATTGATTACTGATTAGTAATTAACTAATTACCATATTTTTTCTTACTTTTTTTTTCTGTAGCTCCTTGTTTACGGACTATCAATGAGTCACTAATATACATGTTCACTGCACTATTGCTTTAAGGTGGAGAGAGTTAAATAAAATAAAAAATAAAACAAGAAAAAATTCAGCACCCACATGAGGATTTGATTAATGGATATGAAAATGAATTGACACAAATTCTCGTGTGAGACATCTACTCACTGTCATACTAATTGAAAAAAAATGCATGCTTATATTATTATATGTTATATTTTTATTTATGTTGTTCATTAAAATATGACATTAAAGTATATGGCTATATGCATATTTGTAAAGAATTTGTGTTGGCTTGATGATAAGGAAGGCCTAAACAAGGCCAACCAAGATTGTAGTTAGACAAACATACAGAATAGACCATCACATTTTTTCAATAAAAATCAGTTTAAATAAAAAAAATTAGAAATAAAAGTATGATATTTCACCATATAAGTATGCATTTTTATTGAATATGATGAGTCAGATGAGTTTAACGGTTAATCCTTAAACATGTTTGCTTATGGAAATTTTTGGTTTTGTTTAAATTTTTTTGTTTGGTTTGGTTAATTTTGAAAAAGATAGTATAGTTAGGTGTTAGTGGGTATATTAAAATAATATTTAAAATAAAATAATCAAAATTAATTTGATGTAAAAATATGAGAAATGTGATTTGAAATGATAGTTAGTTAAAATAATGTGAGTGGATGAAAAGTGAATTAATATTGATGTGGTGTGTATGAATGATTGATTGATATTATTTAATTATATTGATGATAGTGAAGTTGAATTAAAAAAAATAGTTGAGTTAAAATGTTGGAAATTTTTTGAAAAATCTTATAAACAAACATTGGTGCACAAGCTTATGTGAAGAGCTGAAAATTAGATTACTCTTTTTAGGAGAAAAAATGAGGTCCAACAGCTAAAGCAGCAAGTACTACTAGCTGCAGCTACTTCTAATACCTCCTCAAAACCCTCGATTCATTTCTCACTCTGCCTGCCTGCTCAAATGCTCACATAAGAAAACCTCCAAAAAAAAAAAGAAAGAGAAAAAAATCAATTCAACTATTTTGCGACCACTCAAACAACAATGGCATCTCGTTGCAGAACAATTTCAAGGCCCGCGATGAACCTTCTCAAGTCCGCCATCGCTAAGCCTTCGAGCAGGCCCGTCTTTTCTGTTCAACCGGCCCGATCGTCCCCGTCGCTTCTTTCAAGGTTCAATCTTCATAAACCCTAAGAGGGCTATATTTCATGGAACTGATTTTGCTTTTTGTTTATGGAATTAGCTGTTATGCGCATTCTTTATCGGGATTTTCGTCCAATGGCCCAAATAATGTTCTGCAAAGCCTAAAGTTAGCTTCTTTATGTGATAATGCCTCAATTGTTTTTCACTTAGATTTTATTTTTGGAGGGTTTTCAGTGTAAGTTTGCTGGATTTTTGTTATGTTTTATTGAATGGTTTCTCATAGAACACCCATTTTTTGAAAGTGTCTACTTATTGAATATTGAGTAAAGATTGGTTTTGGGCTCGCATGTTCTGAAGTTTTAAGCAGCTGTATGAAATGGGTTCTTTATTTAAATCATAATTCACCTTAATTACGCGAACCAATTCACGGTTGACATATCTAAACACAAGCGCCTTTGTAACCTTAGTGCTTGCTTGGATATAGATATAAGCTATGTTTGGTAAACCTAGCTGACTTTTAAGTGAATAAGCTTATGAGGTAAGTTCGAGCTTTTTAAAAAAGCTCATCCTACCAAACCAAGCTTATTTGAATAAGCTTTTAAGCTACTCAAATAAGCTTATATACTTACCAAACACAATTATATTGAGTTTTAATTGATTTTTTTTTATTGGTTATCTAAACACAAGCGCCTTTTGGTCCTTCATATACTTGCATTTTCAGGCCATTGCCTCAGATGGGTGCATTGATGTCTCTATTACCCCTTCACACAGCGGTCTCATCTGCTAGGCTTACTTCTTGTCTGGGCCCGGACACCAATGGCTGCAGATCTTTGTCTCAGGGTATGCTTTGCAGTGCCAACCCTGGAGTTTGATACATTTTGTAATCTTTCCGTAAGATAAGCACTTCTTTGTTCCTTCATATCAATATTGGGAATGTGGGATTATATCTTGTTAGTCGCACTCTCTCTCCTTTATTCATTGGCGGTTTTTACTTCTTTTGATGCATCCCTGTGCTATAATTGGTTAATTATGATAGAAATCAGCTTGAGTTTATTATAACTAGGGAAAATGTGGGAGGGAGAGGCCTTTTGAGGTATCTGGACTGAAGTTTTGAGCTTATTTGAAGTGAGTAGTTATGACTGTAAATGCTTAAATGGCTCAATGATGTCATTACTTTTGTGGGAGGTATTTACTTTTGTGGCCAGTATTTAGTCGGTCTTTGATAGGACTTTATCCTTCTTAGGACTTGCAGTTTTGGTTTGCGTCATTAGGTAACAGTAGTAAACTATCTATTGGATTCGATCCGCCATCATTTAAGAAAAGTTGTGGCTACTGCTTACATCATAAGAATGCATGCTTGAGTTGAATCCATTCTAAATCTGAGTTTTTTAAATCCCACCCTGCATAACAGTTGGTTAAGCTTCCTATACGTGTCAATAATAGCTTTTGACATATTATGTACTTCGATAACTGAGTTTTGCTCCCTTATGCTTAGAAATCAGGAAAAATGACGATTGAGGCTAGAACAGATATATTGCCTAGATTGCTCAGCATTGTGAAAAGATGTTTACTATATCCTTCTAAAAGATTGACATTTTATGTTATTCATAATTTAAAAGATATCTAGTGATTTACTCCATGAAAATTCTTCGCATGTTTTATCGAGGCAGTCACTTCCACACTCAATTAGTGAATTTTCCTTTCACTTCCTTTTTATTTTTATTTTTATTTTTATTTTTTTTCTTCTTACTCTTTTGTTAGAAGGAATGTGCTGCCTCTTGTCTACCACCTGATTAGTTAGGCTTCACATTTGCGGCGCTCAGTTNTTGGTATTCATGTTTGTTTGTTTGTTGATTTAATTGAATACTTTTAATATCCACTCCTCTTAGCAAGATTGGCATCACCACTTAACGTTCTTGCCTATTAATGGAGTGCCAAATTTGATATCTTGTTTTGAAGTGCGTTAATCACGAACTCTACCTCATAGGTTAAGCCTATTTACAAAAACGCAGTTGAAAGTAATATCTTTACATATAATGGATCTTCACGAGGTGTATTTGTTAGGTAAATACAGTAATACACAACTCAAGCAGGGTTGATCATACACGGTAGTGTTCGTTTTTCATTTCTTCTTTCTTTTTAAATCTTGAAAAGTATATATTTTTGTTAGTATAACAGGCTGACTCGTCTAACGATTAGTCTATCTCACACAAGAATTTGTTGTGACGTGGCATTAGTCCTTATATGCATTCTTCCTCATTGCAGAAATAGGTCAGTCCGTGCCGCGATAAAAGGGTTGAAGAAATTGGTTCCGACTTTGATGGATCATGGCTTCATGTTAATCAATCAATACTCTTCTTTTCATGGCTACAATGGAATTCATGATGATTTTTCATTAAGATTTTTTGGTACTTTGATTTTCCTTTGGAATCTATTTGGATCAAATTTCTGGTATACTCCCTGTGTATTGCATATGGCTTGTGTTTCAGCAATTGCAAAACATGATTGCACCTACCATGTGTATTTTCAGTTTGTTTTTTTCATTCATTAATTTAATTAATGTTTATGAAATAGATTTGTGAATCGCTTTAGAGGAGCCGAAATTTGCTGTCCCAATTTCAGTGCATTTGTAAGAACAAGGCATTTTAGAATTTTGACTGGACCAGTGCAAATATAGGCCCAATAATTGCAGGCTAACACATATGAGCATGAACTTCTTTTTTATTAACTGGGCTTGTATAATGAGCTTTTTCAGTTCGTTTATCAATATTAACAAGTCGAAATTGAGTTTTGACAAGTTGAAATTTGGAAAATTGCATAAAAAAAATTGAATTTTTGAAACTTAATGTGTTGAGCTCGCCTGGTTAACTAATTGAGCTTTAAACAAGTCAATAAGAGCTCACGAGCAGTTTAGTAGTTTATAATTTTCNACAAATAATACAAGTGCAAATTACTGTAGCTATTAGCTTTCATGCCCGTAGGCTGTAGCACTTATTGTTCAGTAAAATCTGAATTATTTGAATCTAACAAATGCCTGCAACAAATTGTTATGAGTTGAGGTCTTTCCAAAGTTTGATTATCATTCCTTGGTTCAACTCGTCTTACTACACTTTTAACTGTAACATATTTGTTCTTCTGTTTTGGACATTTTTTATTCCCAGTTGTGGTGAGTTCAAGAATGTGATATGATGGTATGATTTAGTACATATGAAATGTTAAATTTTCATGTTGCATTGGAAGAATCATGAACCGTTTGGTTGCAGTCACAGAAAAAGCTACTTTGATGGGTTATGCACATAAGGAAATAATGTTCAAAGTATTTTTGTATAAGATATTATAAGTTAGATGGAAATATAAAGTAAAAATCCGACAATCATGTTGTCCATGATTTCACGAAAATAAGAAAATTGACGACCAAACATAACACCACGTAAACAAAACTCAGCACAATGGAGGAAGAGAATCAGAAGACAGAGAGAGAGAAAAAAAAAATATACGTCTCGACTATTTGTTTCTTCATTTACCAATTCCAGAGTTAAATTTGATTCCGCTCTGGATAATAATAATAAAAAAAAAAGGGCCATTTAAAAATCTACCGGATTGAGCCTTCAGTAATGGAAGGAACAGTGCAGACACCAGCTGATGTTGTGAATGGCAGATTTTTGTAGCAAGCAACCAAATTCTTATCAGTATGCAAATCCACCTGAAGTCTTTCCCAAACCTTCTTCTTAGGATTTAGAATCTCATCAGCAGGTCCTTCAAAACCCGGGAATCTCACTCTTTCGCCCACAATTGCCCCTTGGGGAGGTTCAACCAACTCAACCTACCAAATTTCAACTCACAAGTATTATTATATGTACTATATATATTATGCATCATTCAAGTATATTTTTTTCTTTTTTTTTGGAGGAAAAAGAAAAGACCGGGAAAATTGCAGGAAAAATGTTGTTAAAGAACTTTTTTGTTTTTCATCCAAACACGTGACATGCAAGACATGGCGGGTAATTGAATTACATAATGGCTCCACATCAGCAATTTCGGCCAACTTGAATGACACATGTGCTTTTCCAACCACTTAAAAATTTTCCCAGCAGATCGAGGGGACCCAAATAGCGAACTTTTTCCATTAAAAAGGGATCAAAAATCCAAATTGGCCATAAAAGATTTCTCGCGGAGAGGCTGGAGAGTGGAGACTAAAATTGTGATTTTATCTTAATTATAAATATCTGACAATTCTCCTGGCATAGTGCTAATAATGGACTAGATCAAAATTGCTCAATTAAATTCTAGTGCTTCTTCTATTACTGAAGTTTCTAGAAAAAAACATATATCAAACGGCGCAATGCACCTTGGGTCGCTACGGAAACAGCCTCCTTGTATAATTACAAGGTAAGGTCTGCGTACAGCTGACCCCCCAGACCCCAACCTATTGGGAATATACTGGGTATGTTGTTGTTGTTGTATAAATATCTGACAAACTCAACTCAACAGCTTAGAAGAACCTCAATTTCGACTTTTGAGTACGCATTTGTTTAGAAACATAGGGGGCAGTGAAAGAAACGCTCTTATAAAAGTCACACATTTTCCACTAATCAACTTACAAAGTGGAGAAGTGGATTTAAATCTATAGAAATATCGTTCACTTTTTTTTTTTTTTTTTCCAATTGACCCAATAGATATAATTAAGATATTGATCAAGTGATTGCTCACCTTCGTGTGATCGTTATTGGAGGCTGCAAGGACCATTGCTTGAGATTTTATGCCCCTCATGGTTGCTGGCTTTAGGTTACAAAGAACACAAACCCTCCGATTCTGATAAAGAAATACACTGTTAGAAAATGTAGTGCCAAAAAATGAGTATTAGAATCGCGTGCTTGGATATAAAAATCTCCACACAAAATTTTTATATCCAATGCCGCCCTAAAAGTAACAAGGTTAAAACCTGCATATCTTCAAGGGGTATATAATTGACTAAACCACTAACAACCGTGCGAGGTTCTGCTTCGCCAACATCAATTTCTTCAACATATAGAGAATCGGCATCAGGATGTTTCTGAGCCTTTGCAATGACACCAACTCGAATATCTAGTCTGCTAATGGAAACTTCGGCATCAGCAGGAGGCGAAACCTTAGCCTTTGCAGAACAGGACTTTTTCGCTCGGTCCTTACCAATTTTACCGTCTGTAAAAGAATTGATTGAATGCAAGTTAGCAAGAACATCGATGTTGACAATAATATATGGATTTTAGGTATAATCAAAGTATTAAACAAAAGGTTGCGCTTTTTTTGTCCGTAAAAGATGAGAATATAAAGGCTATGTTTGGTAACCAAATAAGCTAGCTTATAGCTTATTTGATTAGTTTATAAGCTTTATTATGAATCCAAATAAGCTTCGTTTGGTAGGACGAGCTTTTTTAAAAAGCTCGAATTTATGTCATAAAGTTCTTTGGGTAACTTTTCAAATAACCTCGTTAAAATATTTATTTCGGCTAGCTTATGAGCATATTTTACCAAGCAAACACTTCTATCGTATAAGCTAGCTTTTCAGCTATAAGTCATGAGCTATAAGCTGTAAGCTCGAAAATCACTTATAAGATATAAGCTAGCTTATCAGCTAACAGATAGCAATAGGAAAGCCTTTTCTCTGACTCTAATTGTGTGAGTTGGAATCACACAATCAGAACACTCATAACATGTCTTCCAAAAAGAAATATGACCAGAAAAAAAAATGTCATATAGAGTGGCGGAAAATGGTGCAAGGCACATTATTTATACACGGTAATATATAAATATATTGAGAGAGCTGAGCATCAAAGTAAAGCAAATAAATAGAAGCTTAAAAATAGGCAGCCAGAAAGAGTTTATTTAACAA